CCAGGAAGTAGCTTTCACCATGCTGCAAACTCTGAACTACAAAGCCATATTCATTAACTGGCACTGGCACTCCAGAGGAATGATACAAGGCCAAGTCTTCTTGGCCGAACATAGATTTCATGTCAAGTGGTCCCCTTGGCACCTCTGTCGCTACTCCATTAATAAAAACTGTGATAAACCCTGAAACATATACTACTTCAGCACCTGCGCAGAAAAATAACTCAACACTACTTATAGCTTTATAGGAGTAGTTTATTCAAGAAAACAAACTTTGTTGGTACGATATGATATGTCAACTCAAATAATTCTTATAGTTCAAGTGGAGTGTTCCCTCCCCATATTCTGGGACAAGCAGAAAAATACCGCCATTTATTGTAAAAACAAAGCCTTGATCAATTGCAAATACGATGAAACTGAACTAATTAAGGTGGCAAGAAGTATGAATCTCGTAAATAATTACCAGTATGGCTTAGAAAAATGACATAATTAAAATAATTGTTGGAACTTGAGAAAGACCAATACCAGTTTGGTAGTGCAAGTTAGCATTGTCTGCTGGTGAGCACAAAATTGAGCTGACAGAAGAGTTTTGCTCGATTTTCGGAAGACCCATTTGACCAGAAAAAGGGAAGAGGCCGTTAGTACCATCATTTGCATTTTCCATATCTCCTCCACAAGAAGAAGAAGAAGGGGAAGAAGAACCAAGAACAAGATAATTGGAAGGTGCAGCCATAGGGAAAGAAATGGCTGAGGGGCCAAAATTTCCAGTACTAGTATCAAATTGAATTGCACCGCCACTACTACACTTTGCAGCTTGTTCTCCTCCACTTCTACTATTGTCGCTGGTAGCATTAAGACTCGCCTGAATTTGTCTTTGACGACGGCGAGACCTTGAGCGGCGGTTTTGGAACCAATAGAAGACATTTGCATCTCCAACAGCGCCAAATTGCTCCAGGATTTTTCTAATTCTCACTGTCTCATCTTTGGGTGGATTTACCATTCCACTATTGAAGATTGACTCAAGTATTAGGATTTGTTCCGGCTTTGGGTTCCACCTCGATCTCACCGGCTCATTTCTTTCGGAATTAGACTGGTTTGATGAGGTAGAGTCTTGCGCTTCATTTTCCATGGCTGAGGCGTGAGTGAAAGATAAAAACTCAAATGTAAGGGAAAAGATACCAAAGAATATAGTACACGGAAGGTTGTCAACATCAAAGGAATTATTTGGGTATTTAAAGGCCAAAAGGGAATGTTAGTTGTTGAAATTACTGTCCTGTCCCTTTCAACTCTGGAGTTGCTTAAATAAAATTCAGAATGTAGTAGGAGTATTTATCTTCAGCAAAATAATACAAAACGTAATTTTCATATAACTATCATACCACTTGATACTTTTTTCGGCGTCGAATTTCATTGGACTACATAAAGTCTAGATTTGTCTTGAGCTTGGGTTTCCCTCATAAGGGGGAATAGTACGGTTGATAATTAGGGGGAAAAGATTAGCTCCAGTGAAGATGTATGCAAGAAAAATATTAGTGGCCTGGATCCTTTTGTTTGGTACTGTCTAGTATTTTATTTATTATTTCAACTATAAATAATAAGAATATTTAAAAACACAAGAAAACACTCCTTCAATTTTACTTTACTTTTTTAAACACTAAATAAGTATTTTAACAAATAAGAAAAGCATGACTAGACTGTAAACGTCTATGTCATTATTCACAGAAAAGAACAAGAATTATATCTACTCTTGCACACACACACACACACACACATATATATATATATATATATATATATATCATACTGTAAGCTGTGATGGCGCCCAACGCCGTCGTTAGGCAAGCCAATGTTGAGCTATCCATTTAATTATTCACTTTATTACTTTTAGAATTATGATTTTTTTTTTTTATTTAATAGAGAAAATCCAAGTATTAAAGGACATGGTGATATAAGGCATAAAATAAAATATAGAGTGAAGCAGAAATATTAATAGACCGAACCATGAACGTCTATTAGAAATATCCAAAACCTGGTGACACAAGTGCACGGGCAATATAGTAGAATATACAAAAACCCCTACAACTACTGTCTGAAGCAGGATAGACAGAAATAATAAATACAACAAGAGGAGACTCCAGGGTTGCAAAACGGAGTATGGAAAGCAGCTCACCACTAGGCCTCCGGATAATGTGGATGCGTGCCTGATCGAATACCAGATGTACCTGCCTCACTACCTGCACAATTTGTGCAGAAGTGTAGCGTGAGTACGTAAACAATATGTACCCAGTAAGTATCTAGTCTAACCTCGAAGAAGCAGTGACGAGGGGTCGACACCGACAATTACTAGAGGTCAATATATATAAAGTGTAAGAATTTTAAATAGGCATGAAATACAACAATAACAATGGAATAAGAAGCAATAAATAAGTGATTCTTTAACAAAACAATAACAGGTTAAAAGTCCCCAAATATCACATGCCAATTTCAACAAATAAGGGCCAACAAGTAATTATAATTTCTCAAGTCATCAAAATAATATCGTGTATAATCGGACTCCTAGTAATATCATGCACGAGTTATGCCGAGGTCGTACGACCCGATCCATAACAATCGTGTACATACACAACCGAGGTCGTACGGCCCGGTCCATGAATGCATCTTATTATATATAAATATTGCCAAGGCGTTCGGCCCGATCCACGGGAATAAGGAAACTCTTCGAACTACGGAACATACATTTAAAACCCCAAAATAAGTACATAAATGAGCATAAATTTTCTATCAATAATGAAACATTCCGCCAAAAACCAAAGTATGAAGCTCGGTCTAACATAATGTCTAATCAAGTTTCACTTATTAACACAATTAATTAAACTAACAAGTTGAGTTCAAATAGTACAAGTATTCCATTATAAGGTCCTATGTCTACCCGAACATAACATGATTTTAGCTACGTACGGACTCTCGTCACTTCGTGCGTACGTAGCACCCACAAATCATCAGCAAATAACAATTTAAACACATATGGGGTTGATTCCCTCTTACAAGATTAGGCAAGAGACTTACCTCATTTTCAAGCCCTCTTCCCGGTCCTCAAATCACACTAATAGCCTCAAATCGGTGCCGAGCAATCCGAAACTATCCAAAGGTCGTACAAACTAATCAATATGTGCTCAAAAGTTCATAAATTAACTATTAGATTAATTACCCAACCCAATTTAAAAAAATTCCTAAAAGTCACCCTAAGCCCACGTGCCCGGATATCGGAAATTTTTGTAGATAAATATTACCCATAACCTTATGAACTAAAATATATAATTTCTATTCAATTCCATAATCATTTTTGTGGTATAATCTTATCTTTACCAAAACCTAGGTTTTTTAACTAATTTTTAAAATTCCTACAATTTTTATGTTAAAATCCACCCATAATCTATGTATTAAACTCACATTGTATAGAAAATACTTACCTCAAGATGCTAGGTAAAAATACCTCTCTAAAAAGCTCCAAAATCGGCGAAGAGATGTGTGAAATGAAAGAAGTGGCTTAAGTCCCGTTTTTAAATTAAACACTGCCCAGACGTCCCTTCTTCGCGATCACGAGGCCCTTTTCACGAACGCGACTAGGTCTCACGATCGCGAAGGCCAGCCTAGCCTAAGCTTCGCGAACGCGACCTGCCCTTCGTGAACGCGAAGGGCAACGACCCACTGACCCCCAGGCCCGCTCCCCTTGTACACGAATGCGAACCTTCCAACGCGAACGCGAAGGCGACATGTCTTAAACCTTCGCGAACGTGACCGAGTGATCGCGAACACGAAGAGAAAAATGTCCAACCCCCAAATCCTTCATCGCAAATGCGAGGCCTTATCTATATTCGCGAATAAGGAAACCAGAATAACAATTTCTGTAGGTTTGAACTTAGGAAACCGTCCAAATGCACTAACAAGTCCATAAATATAATACGAACTTACTCCAAACCTCGAAACACATAAAACTACTTTGAAACTAAGAATCTAACCCCAAAACCAAATTAATAAACTTAAGAATTTTACGAATGCGACGAACCATACTTAGACAACTCGGAATGACATCAAATTTTACGTACAAGTCATAAAATACCATACAAACCTATTCTCAGGCTCGGAATCCCAAAAGGACATCGATATCACTAAAGTCTTCTTCAAACAAAATTTAAGAAACTCTAAAACCTTTAAGGTTCTTTTAACATTAAGTGCCGAAATGCTCCCGGATCACCTGAAGCTCGATACGAACACACACCCAATTTCAAAATTATCATACAAACCTACTGAAAGCATCAAATCCTGATTCCGGGGTCGTTTACTCAAAATGTTGACTCAAGTAAAACTTGTCTACCTTAGGCCACTATTAAGAAACTAAGTATTCTGATTTCAACCCGAACCCTTCTAAAACCAAACCAACCATCTCCGCAAGTTATAAAGCAGTAAAAGCACATATAAGGAGTCTTAAATAGGGAAACAAGGATCTAGAAAGCAAAACGACGAGTTGGGTCGTTACATTCTCCACCTCTTAAATAAATGTTCATCCTCGAACGGGTCTCGAATCATACCTGAAGTGTTGAATAAGTGTGGATATCTGCTCTACATGTCTTCCCCGGTCTCCCAAGTCTCCTCCTCGCTTGGTTGACCCCTCCACTGGACCTTTACAGCAGAAATCTTCTTAGACCTCAACTGGCGAACCTGCCTGTCAACAATAGCAACTAACTCTTCCTCATAACCCAAGCTCTCATCTAGCTGAATTGTGTTCTAATCTAACACGTGCGACCTGTCAGCATGGTACTTCCGGAGCATAGACACATAAAAATTTGGATGAACTCCTGATAGGTTGGGAGGCAAGGCAAGCTCGTTAAAAATCTCCCTAACTCGCCTCAACACCTCAAATGGGCCAATAAACCTCGGACTCAGCTTTTTCTTCTTTCCGAACCTCACGATTCCCTTCATCGGTAAGACTCAAGATAACATTCTCGCCTACCATAAATGATAAATCACACGCTTTCTAATCCACGTAACTCTTCTGTCTGGACTATGCTATGCGAAGTCGCTCCTGAATCAACTTTACCTTATCCAAGGTATACTTTACTAAACCAGTGCCATATAACCTAGCCTCGCCGGGCTCAAACCAACCAATGGAGAAACGACATCGCCGATCATAAAAGGCCTCAAATAACAAGTTAAAATTTCCCAAATATCACATGCCATTTCAACAAATAAGAGCCAGCAAGTAATTATAATTTCTCAAGTCATGAAAGAAATATCGAGTATAATCGGACTCCTACCGACATCACGCATGAGTTATGCCGAGGTCGTACGGTCCGATCCATAACAATCTTTTACATACACTACCGAGGTCATATGGCCCGATCCATGAATTCATCTCATGATATATAAATATTACCGTGATGTTCGGCCCGATCCACGAGAATAGGGAAACTTTTCAGACTACGGAACATACATTTACAACTCCAATATAAGAACCTAAAGGAGCATAAAGTTTCTATCAATAACAAGACATTCTGCCAAAAACCAAAGTATGAAGATTAGTCTAACATAATCTTTAATAAAGTTTCACTTATTAATATAAGTAATTAAACTAACAAGTTGAGTTCAAATAGTACAAGCATTGCATAATAGAACATTCAAATTCACAATCGAGCGTCCGAATCCTATCAAATCAATTCCGTTTTGCATCAAATTTTGAAGACAAGTTTTAAATAGTAAAATAAACATATACCAAGTTCTGAAACCGAAATCTGAATCCGGTAGCAATAAAGTCAACCTACGGTCAAACTTCAAAATTCTTAAACCACCAAATTATTAGTTTTTAACAAATCACGTCAAATCGAGTTATGGACTTTTGAATTCAATTCCGGGCATACGCCAAAGTCTAAAATTACGATATGGACCCACCGGGATCGTTAAAATACCGATACGGGGTCGCTTACATATAATATTGATTGTACTCAACTTAAATTATTTTAAACCTAAAATTCATATTTTCTTCAATGTTTTTCACATAAAAACTTTTCGGAAAAGGACACAAACTGCGTACGCAAATCAAGAATAACTAAACGGAGCTAATTGAGGTCTCGACATACCGAAATAAGTGCTAGAACTCAGAATAACCTATCGGGTCATCACAGATTAT